GAGGCGCCGTTGGCCTGCGTGAACAGATTGTTGGCCGTGTTGACACTCGAGGAGACCGACGCGCTGAAGTACAGTTGACAGGACAGCTGTCGCGCACACCACATGATCGTGTGAGACAGCCGCACACAAACGACACGACACACGACACACGACACACGACACACGACACACGACACACGACACACGACACACGACACACGACACACGACACACGACACACGACACGAAACACACACGGCACACCAAGAGGACGTACTGCATAGTTTCGGCCTGAGCCGCCGAGGGTGGACAGCTGGAAGAGCATAAACGAGTTCTTGCGGACAATGACGCGCGAGGTGTAGCTGCTACTCAAGGACGTGAGCTTGATCCACGCCGACGCGGAGAAGGCGGAGGAGGCGGCCCCGGGGAACAGATTGATGCCATCCACGCCTGCGGTTCAGTTTGTGTTGTGTGGTGTTGTGTGGTGTTGTGTGGTGTTGTGTGTTGTGGTGTTGTGGTGTTGTGTATTGTGTGTTGTGTTGCAACATCAACATCAACATGTTTGGCGTGTAGTGAGTGTGGTGGAGGCAGTGTACGGATGTAATCTGGTCCGCCGGCAAGGACCAGACCGGCGGACCCAAACCGGGCGTTGGAAGAAGAGATGTCAGCGGAACCGGCGGCGACGCCAGCTAGAGCACACCACACAACAGCAAGAGAACATGAACCGTCAGTCTCAAAAGGCCAACAAATGTCGAAATTTTTTTTATCCTTTTATCGAATTGTATTATGGTTTAAATTAAATTCGAAATGAGAGTTTGTTCCCACTAAGTTTGTCGGGTCCGTTTCAACAAGTTCAACTACAAAACTAAAGATGGCGAAACGTACAGGGCACGCTGTTCTGACAATAGCCCGAGATGCCGGAGTAGTCATCTACACACAAGTTGTGTTAGATGGGCGGGGGGGTTAGTTTCTCCCTTCCTTCTTATTGGCGTGGTCTTCGTTCTTTTGCCGGCGGGCGTACCATCGAAGTCGTAGTAGGCCACAAGCGAAGAATGCGCCGGCAGGACCGCCACAAGCAACAAGACCCATACCACCAAGCACAGCCTCATCCTACGCGGTGGGCTTCGTGGAGGCCTGGTTGGTGTACAAAAGGTTTTTTTTCGAAACTGATACGACAACGAAGCTCTCCCGAGCGGCAAGGAAACGCGTTCCGAGTCCGACACACCAATGGGCGAACGGCATTTATATTACGCCGCAGATTCGACCAATCCGCAAGGTCGGACTATTGCGCCCGCTAGCCGCAGTTGTTCGGCCGGCGTGGTGGGTGGCAGCGCTGCGGCCACCACCGCCTCGAATCTGTTCAGCCGCGCCGAGACCCGACCGGCCAGCTCCTCGCTCTGCTCCCGCAGTGCCGCCACCTCTCGGTCGTGGCCCCCAAGCCCCGCTCCCTTGTGACGCGCAGCAGCCGAAGAGTCCAGGGTGCTGCACACGGTCTGGAGGAGGAGCGACAGCTTGTTGACCTCGAACACAGCGGCGTAGACCTGCTGTCGCACGAAGTCGGCCACGCCCACCTCGCACAGTCGTCCGGTGTCGCCAGACGAGAGAACCGCGGACCGATCGGCAACGAGGCTGGCCGCCAGGGCGCTCAGCGTGCCACAGCGCCTGAAGATGCGCCGCAGCTGCGCCCAGTGAGACGGCCCCGCCCGCGCTTCGTCGGGCGCCTGTCTCGCAGTCAGACTGTGAAGAGCGTCGCGTGACGTGGCCAACCGATG